AGCCTCCAAAACAATACAGAGAAACCCTGTCTTGAAAAACCAAAAAAAAAAGTTAGATTCTGTGTTGGAAAAAGAATTTATTTCCTGCTAGAAATGATCTGCTTATCCTTACAGCACAGATGATTGCTGGTGGCAAACACCAACTAGATGTCCTGTAATTCAATTTTGACACTATTCCCTAGAGATAGCATCAGACTCCGTAGTTGAAGCACAGTGCCCAGGATTCTATTCTTGACTTCCAAATGTCAGTCATGAGCTCTGGGTATTTTACTAGTGCTTTTCATTGGCTGGCTATTAAGTGAGTTTCCACACTTGCTCTGTGAGTTAATTTGTATAAGTTCACAGAACTTTAGGGGTACATTCCCATTTACTAGAATATAAAGGATGCCACAAAGGACATAAATGAAACAGTAGGAGTATGGACTCCCAGACCCTCTCTGGCACAACCACACCCAAGTAATCACCATATGTTCAGGTGTGGAGAAGCTCCCCTCCTTTTGATTTGGATGGGCATAAAAGAAGCATGGGAACTGCATTGAAATGTAATGGAATAAGTTTATGTATTTTTTATTTATTTAGCATTAGTGGGCTGGGTTAAGACACAGCAAGGCCCGTCCAGATTCTTCTTGGTCTCTGGGATGGCATTCTTTCCGGGTTGTGGGGAAGCACCACTCTGGAAGGAATAGGTCTATGACTATCAGACCAAGACAGTTCAGTGAAATAATATAGCTAACCCAAGACCAAGAGGAAGGGAGGAAGTGCTTCCATTACTTGAGTAAGAAGTGTTCTAGCTTGTATGGCCTGCCTTGGGGAGGGGTAATTCAAGAACCATGCACAACCCCCCCCCAAAAAAACCCTATATATATCAACCTCTTAACTCCATTGTCTCTATATACTTCCTAAAATGTTACAGGGTACTCAATGAGACCAGTTAAAGAGTACTGTCTGGTTGGCCACTTTCTCTTCTAAAACCAGCTGCTGTGTCAAGAAGCCACCAACTACACTCAACTACATCTGTAAGCTTGTAGCTTGTGGACATCCAGGCTGCAGACTAACTAGCAAAGCTAGACCCACAAGTGTTCACATGACCTTTGAGGAGACTCCATATGCATTCTCCACTTATCCCTCTACCTACACAGTAGGCTGTCTCAGCTGAGCTGAATCAGCGTCCTTCTGGTCTACCATGAGCTAGTGGCTCATACCCACTGTGGTGGTTTGAATGAGAAATGCCCCATAGTCTCAGACATTTGAACACTTGGTTTCCAGTTGGTGACGCTGTTTAGAGAGGTTTAGATGACACAAACTTGCTTGAGGAAGTACATCACTTGTGCATGAGCTTTGAGATCATATATCCCCACCCTACTTCCAGCTCTCTGTTTCATTTTTATAGTTAGGGATGTGACCTTTTGACTTCCTGCTTTGGTCACATGACTGCCTGTGGCCATGACTCCCTGTAACGATGAACTCTTATTCCTCTGGAGGCATAAGCCCAAATAAACTCTTCTGTCCATGAGTTACTTTTGGTCGTAATATATTTTATCTCAGTAACAGAAAATAAGTAATAACCTGATTTAAGACTTTGTCCTCAGAAGTCCTCTCGTTCCTCAGTCTGTTGACTTGCTATTTTTGGACCCCTCTATAGCCTCTTACTAATTTCTCATGGAGATTCTGCCTAGTACACAACTGAGAGTCTGAAAAAGCAAGCTTGATGTGGAAGAGTAGACATAAGGGGCCCTGAGACATGCAGAAGACCCTGCCAGGAGGCATGTGTGATTTTACTCATGGCTTCGGACTATCAAAGGGTTACAGCCGCACCCAACCCCTCTCAGGATGGAATACAGAAGAGCCACCACAGGTCAAGGAACACAAATGAAAGAAATCAGTGTGGCTTGGGAAGCTGGTCCACTTCTCAGTGATACAGTTCATTGGTAACAGGGGCAGCTACAGCTTTCTCTTCAAATATTCATTCTAATTACTGAAGAACACAGTTTGTCACCTTAAAACTTCAAATTGGGGTGATCCCAAAACATCACCATTATAATGTTTATTAAAGGAAGAACACCCAGACTTTTGTTTTTCAAGAGTACCTTCAAGGGAGTTTCTTTGAGCACTAAACATATTTCTTTTGGAGATGGGACTTTTACCTGCTCTTTACAATTCTCCAATTATTTTCAGCTTTTGATTTTCAGTTTCCAGTCCTCAGCACGGCCTACATAGTATGACTTGTAAAAAAAAATACTTCTTTTCTGGTAAAGTGACTGGATATTAAATGCCAGGAATGAATTCAAACCAGGAAAAAAATTAAACTTTCCTGCCAAAAGTAGTATGTGTGCCCTTGTTGGGTGGTCCTCTGCCTCACAAGCTGTGGGTGGGGCCAGAAAGTCCAAGGGGTCATGTCTACACGGGTCATTTGTTGTCTTTCTGGTTGACAGAACTAGCTGCAAAGAAGCCATTTCTAACACAACTGGGAACACTTTTCTTTGAATTTCTACACAGAAGTTAATTTTTATACAAGGATTTGGAGATACAAGAAGAGTTTCATATGGAGTAACACACACACACACACACACACACACACACACACACACACACTTACAGTATCCATGAAAATTGCACCATGCCTTTGTTAGGCACAAACAGATCATGCACAGTGCCAGCTTTCCTTATTTCTGTAACCCTGGGTTTGACCCAATGTTCATCTGTTCCTCTAAAAAAAATTAACGAATTATTTTCTGTGAATGAGTGTTTGTGCACCACGTGCATGCTTGGTGAACACATCAGATCCCCTAGAGCTGCTAAAGATGATTGTGAGTCACCATGTAGGTGTTGGGAATTGAACTTGGTCTCTGGAAGAACAGCCAGTGCTCTTAACCTGAGCCATCTCTCCAGTCCCGTTTTTCTTGTTTTTAATTCTCTCAAACAGGATCTCAACACTGCAGCCCAGGCTGGCCTAAAACTCAGGGCAATCCTGCCTCAGCCTCCCAAGTGCTTAGTGGCGTGCACACCACAATGCCCAGTAGTAAAAACTCTAGAACAGTGCTTCTCAACCTTCCTAATGGGACAACCGTTAGGAAGGTTCTTCTTGTTGTGGTCACCCTACAACCATAAAATTATTTTTGTTGCTACGTCATAGCTGTGATTTTGCTACCATCATGAATTGTAAAGATTTTTGAAGATAGGTTTGCAAAGAGGTTGTGACCCACAGGTTGAGAACCATTGCTCTAGAGCGACTCTTGTGTATGGTGCTGTAACCAAGGCCTTGTGCGTGCTGGACAAATACCCTATTCCAAGCTCTATTTCAGTCCCAATTTTTACCCCATGTCCCACCCCCAGTTCTTTCGCCCTAAAACATCCATGAGGACCACCTTTTAACTTTCTTCTCTGTCTGTAGCTCTGCAGTGCACCTCAGCTGGTCTGACTAGGCCTTGGCGATTTTTCCCATTTACCTTGGTCCAATCACACTGCTGGAAAGCTCTATGGACCTCAGCCCTCCATGTGGATATACTGTTCAAGGGTCTACCGCCAGATAACATGGTACATGCTTCTTCTCTACTGGCCACACCCCAGGCTCATGCCCTACTGGAAGCTAGTACCTACCAGTGCTCCTTCCCATTAATTTGATATTAAATTTCTTTGTATGTCCACTTGCCATTTTCTCCCTGGGTGTCAGGAAAAACAGACTCTTGACTTGATCCTTAGTCTTGGGGACAGTGGAAAGAACCAGATATGTCACCAATTTTAAGCGTGTACAGCTGGATTCACTTCTCAGTAATTTTGCTATTTTCTCTCTCCCTGAAGTTTATGAGACTCCAAAAGCGATCACTTCCTGGCCTTTCTTTTCTTATTTTTTATTTGACTTTTTGAGATAGGGTTTCTCTGTGTAGCTTTGTAGACCAGGCTGGCCTCGAACTCACAGAGATCCACCTGCCTCTGCCTCCCGAGTGCTGGGATTAGTTCCTGGCCTTTCTCCACACCCAGTTCTTCCTGGATTATTTTACATGCTGCTCGTACTTTGCCAGACCAGAAACTCCAGCTTGCTTCCTTCCACATACACTTGCTAGTCCTCCAGGATGTGCCAAAGGCTTGCCCTCAGCTCACATTCTAATACATGGTAGAGTGGAAAGCAGGCTGACACTAACGGCTTACCGGGACAGACGGTACTCTCGGGGGGGTAGTAAAATGGTCATTACTGCCTAGCTCTTGGTCAATATCAATTATTATTAGCATTCAATGTTTAGAAACACCCAATATACTGCAGCAAACTGTTCTGCCATCATGATTTGGCGAGGAGTGTTTGTTTACACTGCTCTTGCCAAGACATTTAAGATAGTCTGTGTGGAAACATTCTTATTAAAAGAAAGTAATGAAGCATGGTAAATACTTTTTTTTTTTTTTTGGAGACGGGATCTCACTGTATGTCCCTGGATGGTCTGGAACTCACTATGCATTTAAGGCTGGCCTCATACTGAGAGATCCCTCTGCTTCTGACTCTGGAACACTGAAACTAATTGTCAAATACAATTCTTAGCCAAGGATGGAAAATAAAGTACCTTTAGACCACTACTTATACAATTAGGGAAAATTTAACTCTGTGTATCAGGTAACATTACAAATGTTAAAATTCTCGAGTGTGACCACTATATAGTCACCACTATATAGATTATACCCTCACACATATACACACACACACTATAAATTACATCTTATTCCAAAATCTGTGTGACGTGTTGTAATGCAATTCACTCTCATAAGTGGTATTAACACTGAGAATCTCTCTTCTCTCCCCCGCCCCCCAAAGTGGGAAAGGAAGTGCCAGAAGGTATGTCTAAATAACAGAAATATACATGTTCATCGTGTTATTCTTGCTTTTTCCCCCGTACCTGTAAACATTTTCAATAGAAAAGGCTGAGAGAAAGCAAATGGATTCAAAAGGTATTTTTAAAGCTACCCTAAAATGGTTTGGACAGAAAAACCAAGAGGACAAAGAACCCAAACATCACTTCTGAAACCAAACACAAATATTTGTTTATTTATGGGATATCATTTTACATCAATTCCATTAGAACCTAAACCAGTTTGCTGTGCTCAAGTTGGGTGGCATAACAGTATTTTAGTTAAGCTGGGAGTCACAGGACTTGCACACTTTTATGAATGTAATGCAAATACTGACGACACAAGGCATTCACAGTTATAGGCTGGCTACTGTTCATTTCACAGCAACGCCCGATAGAAATTATTGTATGAAAAAAAGCAACCCACATTTTGGTCTCATTTACAGATACCCAACGCATCAGTTGGTCAATGAATTCTATACAATTTTATACAACATATGAAAGGATAAAGGATAAGGCTTACAGAGGTATTTTAGCAGTTGTAAAAATAAAAACCAAGGGCACAGACTAAACTCTTAAAGCTTTCTGTATAGACTTCAAAAGTATTGTTAGGATGGAGACTCAGTGGCAACAGAAATCTGTTAAACCAGAATCTAGAGGTTTGTCTACTTAGACTTATAAATACTGAACTCAGAGTTCATGCTTCAAAAGAGGCGCGCCTAAGGCTACCATGGGTACCTGGGAAATCTAGCCAGGTGGCTTCTAGCTAGTGCTGCGTAAACATCTACAAGTCATGTTCCCTAGCTAGAGGGCGCTGCAATGCACTAGAACACAAGTGAAGAGAAGAAAGGCGGATGGAGCTCAGGAACTGGAGACCGGAAGGTCCCCCAGCTTCTTCCAACGCCGGCCGCTAAGTGCTCTTGGTGATCATTCAACTTGCATAACTTGGCAATTCTTCAAGAAAAGGTGTCTTATGACTTGGTCTGACTCCCCTGAAAATTAGCTCGGCCAAGATGGAGAAAACCAAGGGCAAGCAGCAGTCACGGCGGTATAGTTCTTGAGGCAGTTGAGAGATTATGGAGTTCTGTGATTCTCCCCTCCAGAATGCCGACTTCCACGCCATACGTCACGAAGGTTGTTACTTGAGTCTCTCATCAAAATGTTCACGGTGGATGAAATTAATTTTTCATCCTGGTGACGACCCTTGATTCCCAGATATGCTGTGCTTAAATGTTCAAAACATTCTCCAGATTCTCACACAACGCTTAAAACAATCCCATATATGATCCATCCTTGCACTGAGACAATCAGCAGCTGATCCAACTCAAGAGTGACTCTTTAACCACGGGTACACCCGAAAAGGGACTGTCTTCCACAGAGCCACACCTGCCTGCCAGTCCCCCTGTCACACTCCTGCTTGCGCCGGAACCCCATCACATGGCAGTCTCAACAGCTGTGCTTTCCCAGGAAGTTTACACTGTGTTCAGATATTAATTTGTGAGACTACACACAAGGGATGATGATTTAAGTATGCTAAAGCAACATTGAGTAGTTTTTTAAACTTCTGGTTTATTTCACAGCAAACCAAACCTCATTATTTGGTAGAAAAAGGCAAGTAGTTGCATTCTACCACACCATGATTTTGTATATGCACGCACACGATATATACATACAACATTTCTGTCTTTGGTGGTTCAATCAGGGAAAGAAATAATATGAAAATCGCAACACTTTGAAAAGAAACTGTAAAACGGTGATAGGGGTAGCATTGTCTGTGTGCTTCGCTCATTTAATGCCATTTAAGGTTCACATTTGATGTAAGACTTTCTTTTTGACCAATCATCCCAACATCTTCCAGCCATCGCCGGCCTGGGCAGGCACGGATCTTACTCCGCTATACCATTCGCCCGGCAAACAAGCCTTAGCTCTTCATTGGGTTACATCTTCAGATTAGGTTTCACAAACTGCAGGGACTGAGTGAGTCATAGCACCAAATAACTGGGAAAAACCTGTTAACTATACACTTCCTCAAGAGGGGCAAGGCAAACAAATAAAAATTAAAAAAATAAGACATAAAATACAAACCCCAAAACACCATTGTGTTGGCTCTGGTTTTCTAATCCACATAATGGCTATCACCCTTCTGAACACGTGACTCAGGGAATAACAATAATGGCCCCTCTGGGAAAGGTCCCAATGTGAACAGGGTTAGCTCAATGCTGGTGGTTTTGAGTCCACTGCCTGCAATGGACATGTTGCCAGGAAATGCCTAGCACAGAAGAAACAAAGATAGAACACAAAATCTCTCTCGCTTGTGGTCTTTAAAAAAAAAAAAACAAACAACAAATCCTGGGAGATTACAGACACCATGAAAGAGTAACTAAAAACTCAAGACACAGCTAAAAGTGCTTTGCAGTTATAAACCGGCAGCAAACCAGTAGGCTCATGGGGGTGGCAAAGGACATTTTACTCACAGTGGCACAGAGAGCTTCCGCAGACCAAACACTGCTAGAGGAACACAAAGGGGGAAACAGCAAAAAGGTTTATGGAAACTTAAGCTTCAGTTTAAAATAAGGAGCAATTTTAATTTGTTCACTTGTACCTATGGTCAAGCTACCAACAGTGTTGACATTAAAAAAAATAAGAAATTAATAATAATAAAAACCCATAAACCTATACATACCTTTGTGTTAAAGATGCTTTGTAGAATGTTATATGTCTGTGTGCTCAAATAGTTGTAAGGTTTTATCACTTTAAAACACCAAGTCACATTTGGCATACGCCACTGTAAGTCATGACTCCTACTTCTTCCAGAAGTTGGCCTCTTAGGCAATGAGGTTAATTCTGGCAATATTCGCTCATGGGGACAGTTATAACGTTTTCTGAAATGCTACATCTGAGACCAAATAAAGTATAGTTGGTTCATTTGGGGAAAAAAAAGGGACTAGAAATATGCCACAAAATTATTTTTACAATACATTTTTGCAGAAATAATCTCTAGGTGAAGCTTTTCATTTTATACACATATACAAAATTGAAACAGCAATGTACACATAATCACAGTGAGGACGTTGGCCAATTCACCAATCTGTAGTGTGAAAACCGGCTGCCGAGCAGCCTCCAAGAGAACAATGTACACAGCAAGCAGCGCGGCCCATTCAATAGCAAACACCAAAACACCCCTGCAGGAGGGAGACAGTGCAAGAAAGCAGCATGCGCTTGGATACAAACAGCAGTTTATGGCTAATGGGTGACGTAACCGTGGTAACAGTGACTCTCTCTCGCCGCTATCATAAAGTCCTAGGACATCTGTTTGTCTTTATACCATTCCACAAATTCATCCAACAAAACTGGCCCTGGAGAGACAGAGAGATAAACAGTATGAGGGCTGGAGGTGCCTGTGGAGGTACAGTGATCACCAACATGCACGGGGAGCTAGGCTCAACTAGAAGGGAGGAAGGGAGGAAGGGAGGGGGAGGATGGGACGGAGGTGCAGGGAGGAAGATGAAGATGTGCAGTGGACCAGGTCTGGGAGGAAGGAGGGATGACTCAGCACCCAGTACTCACACGCTCCATCTTCATCATAGTTGCTGAGGTCCAGACTGATTGTCCTGCTGAACTCTAGCACATTGCACCACTGGTCTTTGTTTATCACTTTATATTTTGATTGCTGATGGGAGAAAGAATATGGTTAATGACACAAAATTAGCAAGTGGGGTGATTTCAGTTTCTATATGAACCAACTCACGAAAGTTCATGTAGGGCTAACTCAAACGATGCACCGGTCTAGGAAATGGTGAGACAGAGCAAGGGTAGAACTTAAAATGGCAATTTTTCATGGCAACACCACGGTAAGGACACACCTAAGCTAGTGGTGGAACATACTTCACAGCAACGTTGCAAAGATTATATAAAGTACTTCGTCTAGTACTTGGCACAAAGTAGGTCTCAGTGACAACCCAATGCAACAGTCCTGCTCACTGCCAAGCTGCTCACTTGAAGTGCATGCATCAGGCAGCTGCTAGGCACCAGTGGTTCAGAGCTGGGAGCCCCTCCATGACTCTCATCATAGAAGAAACAGGGACAGTCAGGAAGTGGCTGCTCTATCACTCTTAAACAAGAAATCTGCTACAAGTAGATAAGCACAGTATCCTAGAGCTTTAAATGCAAAATCCAGAGCTAACATTTAAAAAATATCCTTATGGAAAACAAATAAAATCAAAAATAGTAAAATAATGCAAGTCTTTTTGAAAGGGCAAAGAGTCAAGCCAATGGTTCTGAGGACGCAGGCAAAGGACAGGCTGGATGGGAGTGCTGCTGCCTCCTTCTAAAGGGAAAAACACCAACTTAGCAAGAGCAAAGCACAGACTTTAACTTCTGAAGCATGAAAGCGAAACCAGTCCCAAATCAGTCCGCTGCATTCCTGGGACTGAGCAATGTCAAACTTAGCTCACAGCCAAAGGGCCCTTCACCTGAAGGTTCAAATTCTACTAGACTCACGCGTACAAGAACCCATTTCTTTCTACTCCTGTTCCGATAGTGAGGGCTTATCTCATCGATGGACAGGGAAGCTGGGACAGACCCCAGGGAGAGCGCACCATCACATCGATATGCACTTGTATTGGTGAGTAGCTTTTACCAGCTTTCTTATGGAGTGCCAGTTAGTAGTTACAAGTGGTTTCTAGTAACAATCTTCAAAGGTTACACTGACTGCTAAGTATTTTGGACCACTACATAAAGCAAGTTGTAAAGAAAGATTATTTTAAGTGGGTGTTGGAATTGGGCAAGACACAGGATTTTCTTAAAGATTCTACACTTATCCGTGAAAGCAAAGGCCATGTTCTAAAGGACTCGAGTAGGAGGGGGCCCGAGGCAGATGCCACATGTGACAGACAGCCCAAGCAACTCAAACATTTCTCTGCTTCCTCCAGGTTCTGCCAAAGGACATTTCGACAAAACCCACAGCTAATTATTGGCAGCTTGAAATTGTGCCCCGCAGTGAAAGCAAACAGCAACGATGTGACGAAATGCTGGGTGTTTGTGCCACCTGGCTAAGCACCTGTAAACTAAAGGAGACATTGCAAGCATGCCTGACCCAGGGCTCACAGCTACCCAAGTACTCTGCTAGGTACTTGGAGATGAAAGTCGTTAAGAACAAATCACAAACTCGTTTTAGTGAGAGACAGGTGACTGATATCTAGTGTTGGCTTAAAACTGGAAATTCATCTGAAAGAAAGTAAAACTTGACTTCTGTTGTTACAAAGAACTGAGAGTCTAATCACCAGTGGAGTCTCTCTCTATATAGGGTGGAGAGGAGAGATGGGGCGCTTGGCTGACTACTACTACTACTACCACACACCCACACACACCCACACATACCCACATACACACACCCCCACACACACACACTCACTCACTCACTCCAAGATATGCAGCTGCTGACTGACAGCAATCAGAGAACCATAATTCCTATGAGCAGAAAGCTACAACAAAGGGAAAAAAAATCACACAAAACAGTTAGATGAAATGTGGTAGTTCTAAGCAAGCAAACATACATTTCATAGAGTAATAATTTGGTACCTCTAAGAATTGGTGAAAAACTGGAAAAAGGGGCCAGATTTTTCCTAATAACAGTCCCAGCATGCACTTGGCAGTGTTTATGTCTAGGCTGCGCTGGTCCTTTTCCTGTTTAACAAATAAAAACAAGGGTAAGCCAGATGCTTCTAAATCACAAACTCTAACAACTCAAACATGTATTTCACTTCAGCGAGAAATTGATAAACAGCTTATTTATTACATATCATAAACCCCGAGGGGACTAAACAAATGGTAGCCAAACGCAAGGCAAAGCCTGACATTTGAGTGTCACATATAAATTTATTCTGAGAAAGAGTGATGTGATTAACTTTACCCTAGTGGCAAATCCATTATGTAGTAGCATCTATTATCATTCCTAGGCAAATAAGAACCATAGCCTGCTTGCTTTACAGCATGATAATTACCAGAATTATAACTGCTGATCCAAAAGCCCTCAGGAACTCAGTGGAGTCCAAGTGGTTTGCCTTTCAGTGCTTAGGACTGGGTTTCCTCAGAGACTCATTTTTCCAACAGCATTATTTCATGTGGTAAATATTTTTCTTCTACCTAGACATATTGGAACTAAATTCAGCTCCCAGGAAGGGTTGGCGCCCCAGAGCATCTCTCCCCTCAGAAGACATGCTCGTCCACCTGTCCAGGGAAGCAGGGTCTCTATCTATCTTCACACACCTTCCCTAGCATGTGTCACACAACTCCTAGCACAGTGGCTCATGACTATGTGAAACTAGGAGACAGAATGTACGCGCACACAAAGGAAGCTTATCCCACTTTTATTTATAATTAAAGATTCAACTTCTCGTGATATTTTTCTTACACATTTCCAGTCAGTTCCTATGGGGTTGGGGGGATGTGTTCTCGAACTCGGGAGGCAATCTTACACATCTACAGCGCTCCTTCATGTGGTCCATCAACCAGAGTGGAAATCTGCAAGAGGACTTTTCTACAAAAGGGGGAGGTGCTTAGTCATCCCACTGCAGCAGTACGTCAGTGTTCACCTCGCCGCATTAAGGAACCATGCTGCAACCACCCTTGGCCATGTGCACCTTGTGACAGAAGCGCTGTTCATTACATGGTGAATTTCCTACACAGGCCACGGATCTTCAGAGGACTTAGAGTGACACAGCAATGTGAGGCTCACTCAACAAGGTAACACGGGAAAAGAAGGCAGAGCAGCTTGCCGCTTAGGAAAGCCATTCAAAGGGGCTTCTGGTAAGTACAACAGCTGTTCATGATCAAGCCAGGTCAAGAGGCCTGCGCCACCGTTCCCTGTTAGCAGCTACACAACTTAGGCCTGGCGATGAAAGCTGCGTTCTTTGAACCTGGGGCTGGCATGCTCCTTTCTACAGTGCTCTCTGTCTGTCCTTTGGGCAAGCAGATGATCTCATCATGTCCTGGCAGCATTAACTCAGTCCAGGGATGAGGACAGCAGCGATGATCTTAAGAGTGGCCGTCTTTCACCCACCCTGGTAGGTGTGCTGTATTTCTGTGATGCACTGGGAAATTGAATAAATGACATTACTTAGCCTGAAAAGTAGGTGTGGCAGACAGCAACAGTGCACCCTGCCATGAAGCAAAATTAAGAAAGTTACCGAGAAACACACATGGGACCACAAGATCTAGCCAAAGTCCATTTAGCAGAAGCACATTCGGCATCAACTCACCACACTGGCACTCTAAAAAGTTCCCTATTGCTGAATTTGTATCAATTAGCCCCCAAATGTCTCATCTGATCTTGAAATATCTTGCGCCTTCTCTCATCATCAATAGCCTCTCTCCTGTGTTGGGCAGCCATGCCAGACCGTGGAGGGAGGGAAGGCAGGCAGGCGTGTGACTCACCCTTGCCCACTCCTGCTCTGCAGGGTGCAGCCAGCAGCCCCCCATCACTACGACCATCTTCTGCCTAGCAAATAAGAGATGTTATGAACCACTCACTACCTGATCAGTTCTTGCTGACAACCAATAGCATGTGCGCATGGTGGCCTGGTGGCCAAATGCAATGACCAAAGTGGTAAACATCCGAAAGTTCTGGGAATGGCATAGTGGAGAAGCCCACAGCAAATGCCTTCTCATGCACTGAAGACAGAGACTCTGGGTCCTCAGACAGCAATGGCCCCTGCAGTCACACTCTGTGAGGGGGCTCCTGATTCACAGGAAATGGTTCTGCCAGGATGCCACTAAGCAGCCATCAGTATAAACAGGCTTCTATTTTTCAAATCATCTTTCTAATTCAAGGAACACAGCAGAGACATCCAAGAGCTCTTTGCAAGCAATTAAAGTAGTACAGTAGCCATGGGTCTGGGAGCTACTGCTCCTGAACACAGAGAAGTAGAGGCAGACAGAACAGAAGGTGACGTCCCTGAGATGGCCCTCAGTCACAACCCAGGAGGTACAACAGGGCTGAAGAAGGAAATGCGCTCTTCTCTCTCCCCACCTACCTCCAGACCCAATACTCTGTGAGCGCTAACTATCTAACACAAAGAGAATAACTGGGTGTCATTTTTTCAAGTAACAGAAACAACAGGCCTGAGTGTTCCTCCTGAGAGAATGCCCGTCTCAGGAGAGAATAAAGACAGCAGGTACACAGCACCAGGCTCTCCAGCAACCCTCAACCTCAGGACCTTGGTCCAAGATGGTATGCTGCCTGGAAGAACGCACTCCCAAGTCCAAAGACTGATGGCTAATGCTGAGGAGTATCAGGCTTTGCTGAGGTGGGGTTGTTTAAGAGCCTCTGGTTATATTAGCCCACCCCTGGGCAGACTGAGGAGTATCAGGCTTTGCTGAGGTGGGGTTGTTTAAGAGCCTCTGGTTATATTAGCCCACCCCTGGGCAGACCCTCTTGTAAAGTGTGATAATTATTTTTTTTCTCAAGTGGCACAAAGGACTTACCAAAAGCCAAAATAAAGACTCTTAAGGATGTAAAAGTAACTCCAACCTTACAAAATGGACCTTTAAAGCTTTATCTGAGTTCCCAAACTGTCCCTGGCTACCATTTACCAGTTTTCTAGTTTTAATGGCTTGAGATTTAGATGGAAAAGAACAACCTGGGTTTATTAAACTTACAATGAAAGCATAAAACCTTCAATAAAAAAAACGAAGAAGTCCAAAGGTTTTTTAAGAGACTTATTGGACTCAAAAACAACACAGAAGCAGCCATGACTCCTAAGGTGGAAACCAGATTACAAACTGGTATACGCAATCAAAGACCAGACCAATCCAGTGTGTCCTGTCCTGGCGGGGGGCACAGTCAATTTTAGCACAGCCAAGAAATACAGAGGTCTTTGAAGACCTCAAATAAATCTTCAGTACTATGGCTAACTTGAAGATATGACAACCCAGTTTTTAATGGAAGGTTTTTTTTGTTTTATATGTATGGGAGTTTTGCCTGCATGTATGTCTGTGCACCCCATGCATGAAGTGCCCATGGAGGCCAGAAGAGGGATTTGTATACCTTCGAACTAGATTTATGGATAGTTACGAGCTGTCTTGTGGGTGCTGGGAAATGAACTCAGGTCGTCTGGGAAAGCTGTCAGAGCCCTTAACCACTGAGCCATCCTTCCAGCCCCATAATGGAATGTTGTTTAAAAGGCACGCACATACAAAAGTCACAAAACCTGAGAAATATCCTCTCGCTTAAAAAAATAAACTAAAAAGAACCATGCTCTTAGAATGAAGCCAACAACATTAACATGCAGATCACAACATTTGCAAGGCACATGAACTCAAATTTCGCTACTTCTGCATCTGTGAATGAGAATGCGTGTCCACGCTCAAAGCTCTAATTGGATTCTAGGTCTGAGCGCTTCTCACTCTGGTGCTTGCACTCTTCCCTGGGCAGCATTAGGAGAGCTTGGACTACAAAGATACTCACAAGCCAACAGGCTGCACGGGCAACTGCTGAGCAAACCGTGTACCCACAGAAGAGCCCAAAGCTAAAACTAACGTGGTTTTGGGTTATGGATCTGAGAGCAGATGACAGTGTCACATTATTCCCATCCTGTGTCTCATTGAGGCCTAGCTTCTGTTTTCACTGCCTTTACAATGAGGTATGAAGGAAAACTATGGGGGATGTCACAGTCTGTGTTGGGGGTTGTGCAGAAACTAGACACATACATTGGTTAGTGAGTTTAGTAGAGATTAGAGAACAAAATTCTCATGTTCACAGCAGAAGAATTATGTTGAGCACAAGACCTAGCGTAGCCTGTGGAATCACTCACAGTTGATGAGCTTGGAGGGGGAAGGTAATGCTCGTTGTATGTAAGCTCTTCAACTTCCCAATCACTTCGGCAGAGTCGCCAAGCAGCAGTGACTGACGGCTACTGTTGAACAGTGAGCAGACACCAGTATAAACCGGTATCCAGCTACAGGATCCTTTCTCATCAAACAGCTTTGCATCTCCTCCTTCCATAAAAATCCTCCATCCAAATGCTATGGCCTATTCCAAGATGGAAAACAACTCCCCACAGCCATCATTCATCCTTCTGACAGCGGGATCTCCTTTAGCCTTCCTCGGCTTGAAGGCCTACTCTCTCCACAGACCAGCTCTGCCCAACCCCACTCCTTCCAAGAGCTAACTCAGTCCATCCCCATTACCCCCATCAGGCCCCTCTTAACTCTTGGGCTCCAAGTCTCCACACTTCTCTCTCGAGGCCATGGCTAGTTTGCATCACGGCAGGAGGGCACTGCCCGAGGAAACCCTGTCTTGGTGGACACTGGCCACATTGCAAACTCATGGCCTCTGCTCTCTGCTGCTAACAAACAGCAGCCACACTCCACTCAGTACTCACCCTTCTCGAACCACCAGCCCTCCCGACTTTGATCACAGCAGCCTGCCTCCACTTAGGGTGAATATAAAACAGTCAAACATAGTCACTGACTACTCTCACGTCGAAACGAAACTTCACTCTACTTAGCTTTTTCTCTCATTTTCCTCATCCAGTATCAAGACGTTTCACCAGGTCCTTTTGAGATAAGGAACCAAAGCCACCTGCTGCGGCACATGCAACTGCAGCTCTTCAGGCAGCTATGGCAGGAGGACCAGCTGTTGGGGATCAGCCTGCAAGCGCAGCCAGATGCCATCTCAAAAAGCT